TCTTTACCAAGATGACAAATATGCCAAACTCCCAAGCTAATATTCACCTATACAATTGTGCTGATGAGGCTGTGCAAAATGCCATAATCAACACACACCCTAACTTCTTTACCACTGATCCAGATAATCTACTTGACATGGTAGAAGTGTTGGTCACCCAGAGGTCAAGTCCTATTGTCCATCGCCTTGCTTTTGCCTCCATGTCTCAGGATGCTGATGAGCCAATACAAAGTTACCTTGTCCGCCTCAGAGCCGTAGCCGTTGATTGTAACTTTACCTGCCCCTCGTGTGAACATGACCTGTCTGATATATACATCAAGGACCAGATCATCCGTGGAATAGCAAATGACACACTCCAGGCTGACCTACTGGCCAAAGCTGGGGACTTAAATCCCTTGAACAAAATATCCGTCATGCTGAGGCATTTGAATCAGCATTGCGGGACCAAACCTCAATGGCCAGTGCTTCAGATACAGCTGCTGCTCGGCTATCAACATACCGCAGACAGAAGGGTACACCACAAGCCAACGAGGCGATCCGTACCAGCACCTATTGCAACTGCAATGTTAAACTAAACCACCAGGCTTGCTTAGGTTGTGGCAGCCACCAGCATGGCACCTCAGGAACTGAATCACGCCGGCTAAAATGCCCAGCATGGGGACAAACATGTAGTAATTGTGGGAAGCCCAATCACCTATCGAGGGTATGCCGGGCTAAGAAACCAGCTCAAGCGGTCAGGAAAAGCCTAGAGGCTAATGAAGCCGCCATGGACACACTTATCGCCCACATCACATTCAATCAAACGACAGGCACGTATACGTCTAAAGACACAGGCCAGATAAGGGAAATTGATGCATATGTTGTTCCATTTTCGCCAAAACCGGATCCCATACAAATTAAGAATATCCCCAGAAATCACAGCACTAGGATGACAATCTTTCCTGACAGTGGGGCCACCATATGTCTCGGGGGACTTAAACACCTTCTGAATATGGGGCTCACCATCGACAACCTCATTCCATCAAGAAAAGTCGTCCGAGCTGTGGGAGGCTTTACGCTTGTATGTCAGGGTTGGCTCCCCGTGGAATTCATCGTCCAAGGAAGAACAACTAAACAAGCCCTATACATATGCAAAAAGATTCAGCGGCTATGCTTCAGCAAAGCAGCCTGCATTGATGTAGGGATACTGTCCAAAGACTTCCCGAAGCCGACAACTACAATATTACCCCAAACAACAATGCAACACATGCCCTCGACAAGCACACAAAAAAATCGGACGTGAGCCCTAAACAATGCAAAGTCGAGGGACAACTTCCAACACGCCCCAAAAACTCCTTTTCTTCCAACAGAACAAAACATTGATAAGCTCAAGAATTGGCTATTAAATCAATTTGCCGAAACGGCGTTCAAGAACAATGGTGAATTCCACCGATGTCTGGCCCCACTGCACATATACACCTCAAAGAAGGAGCAGTCCCCAAAGCCAGACATAACCCAATTCCTGTGCCTTTTTCACTTCAAAGAGCCCGTAAAACAGGCCCTTTGGGAAGATGTGAAAAGGGGTATCATAACCCCAGTACCCGTTGGCATGCCCGCTGATTGGTGTAGCACTATGGTAATTACCGCAAAAAAAAAATGGCAAACCACGAAGAACCATAGACTACCAACACCTGAATTCACAGTGCAAACGGGAAACACACCATAGGGTCACCATTCCAGCTAGCACTACAAGTGCCACCTAAACAAAAAAGAAAACGGTGTTGGATGCTGTTGATGGATATCATTCCATCCCCTTAGATAAAGAGTCCCAGCCACTCACCACCTTCATCACAGAATGGGGAAGGTTCATGTACCTGAGAATGCCACAAGGTTACCTAGCATCTGGCGATGCCTACACCCGAAGATATGATGAAGTAATAAAAGACATCCCCCGCAAAGTAAAAAATCGTGGATGACACCCTACTCTATGACTCTGACATCGAAGGAGCCTTTTTCACACCTTCGATTTTCTCCTCCATTGTGCAAAAAACGGCATTGTAATAAATAGAGAAAAATTCCAATTTTGCCAAGACACGGTGCAGTTTGGGGGCCTCCAAATAACATCTTCTGGTGTAACCCCTTCTAAATCCATGCTGGAGGCAATATTGAGCTTCCCAATACCAAAAACACTCACCGATGCCAGATCATGGTTTGGGCTGGTCAACCAAGTCGCTTGGGCATATTCACTAAGCCCAGTCATGCTTCCATTTCGTGATCTCGTAAAACGAGACTCACACTTTACATGGAATAAAAGCCTGGAGGATGCATTCCAGCAGTCAAAGAAGATCATAGTTGACTTAGTCCGAAAAGGCATCGCAACATTTCAAAAAGAAAGAATAACCTGCCTTGCCCCAGATTGGAGCAAAGACGGAATGGGCTTCCTACTTCTGCAGAAGTATTGCTCATGCACCACTGACAAAGCCCCAGTTTGCTGCCCTGAAGGTTGGCGCCTGATATTTGCTGGTAGCAGATTCTGCATTGATGCTGAACGCAGATATGCACCTATTGAAGGCGAAGCAGCAGCAATTGCATGGGCATTGGAAAAATGTCGGATTTTTGTAATGGGTTGCCCGAATCTCATAGTGGTTACAGATCATGAACCACTAAAAGGATTATTCGGAAATAGAGACCTTAGTAAAATCCAAAACCCCCGATTATTCAGGTTAAAGGAGAAAACCCTCAGGTACAGATTCACCATTCAGCACTGCCCTGGGAAATGGCACAGAGCCTCCGATGCTGTCTCTCGTAACCCAGCAGACATCTCACAGGCACTCCTAAATGTATTCACTGCTGAACCCTCTCAATCAGACATCATAGAGTCTGACAACATGGATGACTGGGTCAAATCAAAAACCTTATTAGCAACATTCGGTGCAAATGACAACCTGGAGCTCATCTCACCAGACGTTATCCGTACGGCGGGACGCAGCGACCCGCAATACAAAAAAAATTAATAGAAGTAATACAAAACGGATTCCAAAGAACGCGCATCCTCACTGCACCTGAAATCCGCGAATATTGGGAAGTGAGGCACCGCCTAAGTGTTGACGACGGGTTAGTGCTCTTAGATCAAAGAATTGTTATCCCCACCTCACAACGCGCAAAAATATTACATAGCCTACATTCTGCACATCAAGGCGAAGTTGGCATGAAGGCACGTGCCAATGAATCTGTTTATTGGCCCGGGATGAATGCTTCAATTCGTAATATTAGAGCAGGTTGTACGTTCTGCTCAAAATTGCCCCGAGTCAACCAAAAGAGCCAATCAATTTGACACCATCTCCTGATTGGCCATTTCAGCAAATCGTCATGGACATCTTCCATGTTGGAAACCATGGTTACTTAGCATGCGCTGACAGGTTAACGGGCTGGCTGAATCTATACCACTTGAGCCACGGAGAAGCTAATGCCTCAAGGATTATTTCGATTTGCCGAGACATATTTCAAACCTACGGCGCTCCTGAGGAACTCAGCAGTGATGGTGGGCCACCCTTCACATCTCTTCCATTCAAGCAATTTTGCAAGACTGGGCTGTTAAACAAAGGTTATCATCTGCTGGTTACCCACAATCCAATGGTCGAGCAGAGCTCGCTGTCAAAACAGCCAAGAGAATCGTAAATGGCAACACAGGAGCCCAAGGATCATTGGATAATAACCGTGCAGCAAGAGCCATCCTCCAATACAGGAATACGCCCATTCAAAACATTGGGCTATCCCCTGCTCAACTACTACTCCACCGCCGACTACGTGACTACATACCATCCCACCCAACACTCTATAAGCCACACGCGAATTGGATAACCGCAGCACAAAATCGTGAGATAAGTTTGTCCCGGCGGAACGCTCGTCTCATAGAGCGATACAACAGAACAGCACACACTTTAAACCCCTTCAAAAAGGACAAATAGTGGCACTACAAAGACCAACAACCCGTCGATGGGACACAACAGGTCAGGTCATTGAAACCCTCCCCAACCACCAATACCGTATCAGAGTTGACGGATCAGGTAGAATTACCTTACGAAATCGCCGATTTCTCAGGAAACTGGATACACCAACAATTCCAGTTCCAAGACCTAGTGCAATACCTGAGACCCCTACACCAGTGCAACAAACAGTCGACGCTTGAATAACATCAAACACTGTTCAGCCGTCTACAATAACACGGACAAAAAACCCTCGGGCATTGTCCAGACTACTTCCGCACAACCAGCCAGGTTTAAAGGAACTCATCCCTCCCCAAAGGCCACTACCCACACGCGATGGGGGGGAAGGAGATGTAGAATAACAATAATAAAAAAGCACTTACCGGCGTAAGAGTTCCAACTAGCGTCCAGCTGGCAGACAAAAAATAAAGCAGGTTGTAACTTAATACATATCCTGCAAACTGAGAAATCATGCTAGTATTTATATAGTAATACTTCCACTCAGGTACCAGCAGCCAATCACAGCCCAAGCAATGGACTATCCCACTTTAGCATAATGAGATGCTCCATTGCACCATAAATAGCTCTCTGTCTCTATGTTGAATTAGTTCTTCACTCAGTTTGCTCCACAACTGAGTGGTTATCTTGACCACGTGATTGTTCGACATATATATATATATATATATATATATATTCTCCTTTCGTTCCTTTGGTTTCGTGGGTTACTGTCGAATGAGATAAAAAAAGTGGGTAGCACTTATTTGTCTGCGTTCGCCGGGGATGTTCGCGTTTGGTTCGAGCAATTAGAATCGTATTTTGCTGCGAACAATATATCATCAGAACAACGGCAACTTCATATACTCTTTAGTGTCTTCCCGGCGTCATTGACGCCTACTATAAAAGATTATTACTGATCCCCCGCTCCCCGGATCCACTTATGAGAGCGTGAAACGCGAGGTTCTGCTCCGAACGTCTCAGACCTTGGTTAAAGACAAGCATTTGGGTGACCGTACACCGAGCCAATTGTTGTGGTGCATGAGCGAGCTTGCAGAAGATGCACCTGCAGACAGCGCACTTATTAAGCAGCTTTTCTTTTCGATGCTGCCGCAGAATGTTAAGGCGATTTTGGCGCCTATGGTAGAGATAAGCTCTGCTCACCATCTCGCGACGTCGGCTGACAGAATAGTGGATATTTTAAAGCAGCCTGCCTTCTCCGCTACACTTCAACCACAAGCTGAATTCTCCTCGTTCTCTCCAGCGTCAGCACATGACACCATTCAATCCTTGGTTATACTTCAAGCCCTAGAGCGACTCACCAAAGAGGTGAGAAGATTGAATGTCTCCATATCTCAAATCGTCACACGTCGATTCCCGAATCGTTCGCCATTGCCACACCACCGCCAAACAAACAAACCAGGACTGTGTTTCTACCACAGTCGTTTCGGTACAGCGCCACATAGTTGCAAACAGCCTTGTTCTTTTATAAACCAAGAAAACCGATTTCCGGAGACCTGAGTATGGCAAAGTCTCCCCAGGCACTACCTAATAACCGTATATTTTTTCTAACAGACTCCATATCACAAGCACGCTGTTTGGTTGATACAGGCGCCGCTTGTAGCATATGGCCTTTGAAACTTCTCACTGAGAAACCGCCAGTATCATCGATTTCGCTGCAAGCTGTGAATCATTCACCGATCCACACGTACGGTCAAATTTCTCGTTCTCTGAACTTGGAATTGCGAAGAGATTTTCACGGTCGCCTATCTGCCTTACCTCATTCTGGGCTCGGACTTTCTGTATCACTATAACCAGTTAGGTGATATGCGCGGACGGCGGCTGATTGATGTTAATACGGCTTTGAAATCTACGGTCCCTTCTATCAGCCCGTTAGTCTTCATCGCCGCTTCTGATGACCCTTTTCAGGCATTATTAGCTTTTTTTCCTGAATTTTGTGGTGAGCAAACTTACTCAATCCATAAAACATCATATCGAGACCACTGGTCCGCCTGTGTTTTCACGTGATTGTCACCTCACTGCGGAGAAATTGAAAGCAGCGAAGACTGGGTTTAACCACATGCTACAGCTGGGAATAATACGCATTTGGTCCCGAAGCGCTCTGGAGATTGGCGTCCGACTGGAGACTTTCGTCGATTGAACGCCATGGCGGTACCTGATTGTTACCCCATCCCACATTTTCAGGATTTCGCCTCATCGCTGCACTGTTGTAAGACCTTCTCCAAACTGGATTTGTCTTACCATCAGATCTCCGTTAATCCAGCTGACATAACCAAAACTGCGGTAACAACTCCATTTGGAGCGTTCGAATTCCTGACTATGCCTTTCGGTTTGCGAAACGCGACTAGTACATTCCAACGTTTCATGGATGAAGTAGTGCGAGATCTGGACTTCGTCTATAACTACACAGACGACATTCTCGTGGCAAGTGTCTCACCTGAGGAGTATGTTACTCATCTCCGTCTACTGTTCGAACGGTTTCAACAATACCAGGTGAAAATTAACCCTGGTAAATGTGTTTTTGGTGCATCTTCACTCATTTTTCCTAGGCCACCATATCAGCTCTAAAGTTATATCTCCATTACCTGAAAAAATGAAGGCTCTTCAAGACCTTCAACCGCCCACTTCACTCCGCCAACTACAGCACTTCTTCGGTCTGCTAAACTATTACAGACGTATTATCCCACACTATGCTGATCTCATGTCTCCTCTTTCCAACCTGTTACGTAACAGAAAAAAGAAAAATGGTCAGATTTCACTGGACACTAGTGAGCTAAGAGCTTTTAATGAAGCGAAACAAAACTTTGCGAAGACATGACTGCTTACACATCCTGCGCCTGGTGCCCAGTTTTCATTGGTCGTTGATGCGTCAGGCACAGCTGTAGGTGCAGTGTTGCAAAACCAACAACCTCTCGCATACTTTTCGAGACAGCTGAAACCAGCTGAACAGCGTTACATTTGGCCGTGAACTTCTGGCTATGTACCTCGCAGTGAAAAGCTTTCGACATTCACTCGAGGGTCGCCAATTTGTGATTTACACCGATCATCGCCTGCTTACGTTCGCGCTTCGTTCTAAGCCGGATAAATATTCACCTCGCGAAACTCGACATTTGGATTTCATTTCGCAATTTACCAGCGATATCCGACACATCACCAGTGAACACAACTTAGCGACCGACGCCTTGTCTAGCATGTCAATCAATTCTCTGTGATCACCTTCGGATATCGACCTTCAACAAATGGCCTCAGGCCAGCCTCGTCTGGAAACGTTGGACCTGTCGTCGCCTGAATTTGCTACCGGAAAATTTACATATATGCCTGCGCCCACTTCGGACACGCAGATGATCTACGACACCTCGACAGATTCATCTCTCCCCCTCGTCCCAACGACTCATCGACCGTGGTGGACAGTTCGAATCCCTTCTCTTCCTAGAACTTTCAAGGATTTTAGGAATAAAACATATCCGTACGACTAGCTATCACCCAGCTTCTAATGGTATGATAAAACGCTTCCACCTCCAATTGAAAGCGACGTTGCGTGCTTATCCCGACCAGCAGCGATGGAGCGAGTACGTAACTAACGTCCTTCTTGGCTGTCGCGCAGCTATTAAGGAGGATCTAGGATACTTCCCAGCTGAACTCGTTTGCGGAGTATCTCTATCCTTGCCGGGTCAGATGCTGAACCCGATATATTTAACGGCAACAGATCCAGCTCTGTATGTAAGCAGACTAATCTCCCACCTATGAACCCTCGGCAGCAAACCACAAAATCTTCGGTCCCGAAAGACATTACTTCATGAACTCATGTTTTTCTCCGAAAGGACGCTGTGAGAGCCCTTCTCACTCCACCCTATACCGGTCCTTATCGTGTGCTTGCACGCACAAACTTTTCACCCTGGACGTGGGTGGTAAAAAAGATACTGTATCAATAGGGTGAAACGGGCCTTTACAGAAACTGCCACACAAGAGCCCCATATTCCCTCCATATACACTTTTCACCAGCCAGCGCAGGCTACACACGCAAAAATGTACACACCTACTTATGTCACCACTACACTTTCGGCGAGTTCATTGGCCCAAGAAGCTGTGCAAAACAATATATATATGAACAGTGCTAATGGACATCGGACTATTTCTGCTGCTCAGTTTTATTTTTCCTTTTTTTCCGTTAGCAGAATGCAGACATTTCTGTAGGGTGGATTTTTATTTTTTTTGCCGCATGTTTGCTGTTGGGTTTTCTTTCGACTGCTGACCTTGGCAAATTCTGCCGTGTTTATTTTTTCTATCGGCTGTAAGCCTGAGCAGGGGCTGATGTAGCAGCGATTACATATGTTTTTCATTGGCCGATGAATTCCCTCACAGAAGTAAATTGGTTGAACTGGGAACCAATCAAATCCACCAGCGGAAGGATACAAAAGCCGGACCTGTTGTGAGGAAGAAATAAAGGGAATTCTCTCGCTTCAGTCGTGGCCGCCAAGTGGTCAACAACAGAGACGATGAGCTGTCGACCGCTACCTCGCCTCCTGAACTGACAACATACTTTTCTTACCGACGAAGGCGTGTGAACTTTTGGACAACCTTTAGGTATTTGTTGCCTGAAGGTTACCCGAACAAACCATTAAATTTTATGTAAAGGGATTACCATTCTTGTTATTTTTCTACCTGTATTGCTGACACTTACAGCGACCCCTAATCCTTCTTTACAAACTCTCCAGACCTTAAAGGTTCATACACTTTTACAAAATAATAGTTTAAGTTAATATTTTTTTAATTTCACTATCCCAACATTTTTCTCAAAATGGTAAAAAATTACTGTGTAACAGGTTGTCATGATAACTATGATTAACAAAACAAGGTTTATATTTTTTGTCTTCCCCAAGATCAGAGTGAGCGAGAACGATGGCTAAAGACAATACCTGAAGATAACACACCTGACAAACCAAACACTGTTGTTTGTGAAAGGCATTTTCCATCTGATTATGAAACAGTGATTATTACAAGTACGACCCAGAAATCCACCATCAATATTTGATCATTTTCCATAAGTATATTACCTAATTTTCAGCCCAAATCAACAAACAAAATTTCTGCTTCTTTGCAAAATTAAAAGTTGACACATTTTCTAGAAAAAGACCTTTGAAAAATTGTATCAGAATATTAGTCAACAGGATTTTGTCTCAGCAGTCACATGCTATAAATCAAACAATCACTTGTTCATCCAATCTGTTGATTTTTTTTTCACTGGAAGTATGCCAATATTTTTAATTAAAGTTTCTGAAAACTTGAGATTTGAATGTTACAATGCTGGTATATTATTTTTTTCTTTCAAAAAGTAAAATAGTCAATTTTTTTCTATGAATTTTTTTTCATTGTTGATGCAATCAAATGGTCATCAAGTAATTGCAGTTGTATGTGACAATAACAGAACCCATCAATCTTTTTTCCAAAAATTTGACATTGTTTTTAATAAACCTTGAATAAGTAAAAATGGCTTGTACTTACTTTTTGATTATGTCGAAATTTTTAAAAATATTCGGAATAGCTGGATTGCTGAACCTACTTCTGAATTATTGTTTTATTCTGAAGGCCAAAAGATGACAGCAAAATAGGAAATTGTAAAAGGTCTTTTTGAGCAAGAAAAAACTCAATTCGTTAATCTGTCAAAACTAAATGATGTAGCAGTTTACCGAAAACCTTTTGAATGACAAAATGTTTTCCATTGTTTGAATTTTTGCGATCAAAATGTAGATGCCATTAAAACACACCCATTATTAAATGTGGAGGATACTGCAGAAACAGTTAATTTCATTGATAAAGTTAAAGTTTCGGAAAATTGTGTCAAATAAATATATGGTGACACTAAGAAAAATGATCTACTGAAAAAAGTGATGTCAGATTTAGATGATGAACATCTGTTATTTCTTTCTAATTGTGGGAAAATGACAAAAAGAATGGGAGGAAATCAAAGAAAAAGAATCAAATCATTAACAAAGGATACTAATTTAGCCATTGAACATAGATGCAATGGCTTAATTGATTTTCTAGATATTTGTTAAGTAGTGGGTTTAATTTTGTTATGTTTGATGCACAGACAATTTAGAAAATGAATTTGGAAATTAATACAAAGTTCTGAAGGTGCATATTTTATAACAGTTCAAAATGTTATTGAAAAATTTCATGTTGAAAAAACTAAAACTAGTTCTTTAAATTGAATGCTGAAGTCAACGAATACAATTTTGATCCATGCCATAATTGCTCAAAATGTGGACATTTTCTGAATGAAATGGGATGCCAAACATTTAATAACTTTTCTAGACCTTGAAACTAGGATCTCTGAAGATATTAAAATGTCACTTTTGAAAAATTGTCTCACAGAAGAGGAAATATTTAATAACATTAGTTTTTATTTTCAAGAATAATTATTATCTAGAGCTTTATATACATGTTCAGTGATGGCCGTTAGCACGTCAGCGGTAGATCTGGCAGAACGGAAGCCATATTGTTTGTCAGAGAGTAGGTCGTGGAGTTAAGATGCTTAACCATTTCAGCATTGATTAATACTTTGCCGAAAAGCGGTAGGAGACTAACAGGGCGATAGATAAAGGGGGCATATGGTTTTCAAGAGTTCTTAAAAACAGGAACTTCGGAGAAGGACTTCCAACAAACTGGAAAACAGGAAGCAGCGAGGCAATAGTTGTAGAGTTTGGAGCGAACTGGAGCCAGTTCAGGAGCACATTTCTTTAGGGCGATGGCTAGGATCCCGTCATCCGCGTTTGCCTTATGGGAGTCTAATCTAAAAATGATGTCCGAGACCAGTGACGGGGTTATGTGATATCACTCAGTAGAACCTCTGTTCTAGTTGTAAAATCAGGCATGGGTACTCCAAATGAGTCGAGTGTTGAATTGGAAGAGAATTTCCGAGCAAAGCATTCAACCTCATGTGCTGTAGATGTCAAGTCTTCGAATTGATTGAACAGAGGAAGGATTGAGGGTTTGCTGTTGTTCAG